TCAGTATGGAGGTACCTCAAAAAACTGGAAATGGAACTACCTTATGACCCAGCAATTCCACTATTAGGTACTTACCCAGAGAAACCCAAGATTTGGAAACAACCAAAATGCTCATCAGTAGATGGCTGCATTAAAAAACTGTGGTACATTTACACAATGGAGTATTATTCAGCTATAAAGAAGAATGAAATCTTACCATTTGCAACAATATGTATGGACCTAGAGGACATTATGTTCAGTGAAATAAGTTGTTCGGAGAAAGACAAAGACCATATGATCTCACTTATACGTGGATTCTAAAGAACTGAATAAATGAGCAAAGTAAACAGAAACAGTCTCAGAGACACAGAGGAAAAACTCATGGTTGCTAGATGGGAGGGTGGTGGGGATGAGGGAGAAGGGGAAGGGATTAGACAGCATAAATTGGTAAGTACAATATTGCCACAGGGATATGAAAGACACTTTGGGGAATATAATTAATAATGTTGAAAATATTTTATAGGGTGTGAGATGGACACTTATCTTATTAGAGAGACCACTTCATGAATGGGGTAGAGGCTTGACCACTGCACTCTACACCTGATGCTGATGTTGAATAATATTGTATGTCAACTATAATTTTATACATATAGAGTCACAGGATGTGGAGTATAACGTGAGGCATGGAGTCAATAGAATTGTAATAGACATGTATGATATTGGGCGGGAGGGGCAGTGGATTGGGGGAGGGGGTTGTCACTTTGTGAAGGGTGAAAAGTATAACTATTGCATTGTTTTGTACACCTGAAACTAATAAAAAATAAAATAAAAAAAATAAAAATGAAGATGGAACACATAAAAAAACACTCAGAAATAATACGATAACTGAAATAAAGAATACATTAGAGGGAATCAACAGTAGATTAGATGAAGCAGAGAACTGAATCAGCAATTTTGAATGTAAGGTATTAAACACCCAATCAAAACAGCAAAAATTAATAATAATTATAATAATAGTAATAATAATAATAAGACAGTTTAAGGAGCCTCTGGGACAACTTC